CTCCAAGGCCGCCGCGAGGCCGGGGGGTGTCGGGGCGGGGGCGGGCTGCTCCCCCTAAGGGGCGAGCATGCCGGGCTGCTCCTCCTTCGGGGCTAGCGTGGCAGGCACGACAAATAAATTCCTGTCTGCAATGCGCAACGCTGCAGCCACAAAACGATGGAAGAGAAAAGACGAAGAGGGGCGACTCGTCAGGTTGCTGGTTTCTGTGCTGTCTGGCGGGGTCTCTGCTGCGCTGCGTCGCGCCGTGCTGAGTCGGTGCGCGCCTCTGTGTGTGTGTGCCGTAATATAGACCGCATGTTAATGCGAAAATAGATCGTGTGGTTTGTGGGCTGCACCAGTAAACGATGTAATGATTGCATGCGGAGATGGATATCCAATGGGCAACCGCTGAGGGGTCTCTTTCGACCCCAGGCAAGCATAAGGGACTTTCCTATTGCGGACAATACAGATACCGCCACGCGCGCGTCGGCGCATTGTAGGCTGCAACAATATACGTAGGAGGGTTCAGTTTAGTTCCCAGGCGGGCATGGCGGCGTTCTATTGCTGGCAATGCAGGAACCGCCGCTCGCGCGCGTCCGCGCATTGCAAGCTGCATCAGTAGTTTGTGTTGGAAATAAACACGCACGTTAAGTTGCAAGTCCAATCGGCCGGCAAACGTTAGGGGTCCACTTTCGCTCCCAGGCAAGCACGGCGACTTTCCTATGGCGGACAATACAGAAATCGCCCCGCGCGCGCGCGTCGGCGTCTTGTGGTCGCCACCAATAGACACAACCCGTAAAGACCGCAAATGAAGTTCGAAATCCAATCGGCGACCGCTAAGGGTGCACTTGAGTTCCCAGGTCAGCATGCGGACAATAGAGGAGCCGCCGCGCCCGACCGCGAGCGCGAGCGCGCGTCGGCGCATTATAAGCTGCAGCAGTAGACCAACACCAAACAACCGCGTGGCAAGTTGGAGATCCAATCGACAACCGCTAAGGGTCCACTTTAGTTCCCAGGACAGCAAGGCCACGCTCCTGTTGCGGGCATTTTGTGATATTTCTACAGATGAAAGGCGCGGGCGTGCACCGAGTGGTAGTTTTTTGCTAAATATGAAAGAAGGTTGGCGGGGGCAGCACCCCTTCCCAACACGTACTTTTCGGGCGAGGGTCGTTTAGGGACCAGGCGCGCGAGCGCACGGATGCGCACCGAGTCCTATTCTCTGCCGAGGATGAAACAAGGTGGCGTCGCGATCCTCCGCAAAACATACCACTCGGGCGAAGCCGCCAGCTGGCGGGGAAACTAAAGTCAGCCCTTCGCGGCGGCATGTTCGAATTCCAAATTAACGTTGGTCCTGGCGCATGCTTTCTGATGGCGCGCGTCGGCGCCTTGCCTGCTGCACTAGTAAACGGGAGACCGCCTGTTAGGGCGGAAATCTACTCGGTTACGGCTGAGGGTCCACTTTAATCCCCAAGCCAACATGGCGACGTTCCTATTGCTGGCAATACAGAGGCAGCCCGCCGCCCGTCGCCCGCCACCGGCCAGACATCAAAGAAAACACTCACAAGGCCCATGTTGACTGGGAAATCCAGTCGGTCGCCTCTCTGTGAGGGCTCACTGTTTCCATGCCAACAAGTCGGCTCTCCTTGCGTGGGCAATTGAGAAACAACCACGCTGCGCGCGCGCGGGGATGTGCACCGAGTGGTACCCTTCGCTAATGATGGAAGAGGGTGGGGCCGCGATCGTTCGCAAAAGCCACCTTTCGGGCGACGGCCCTTTTGGGGGCAGGCGAGCGCGCGCGCGTGCTAGGGGTGAAAGAAGGTGGGGTCGCGATCCTTTGGAGCTAAATACAATTTTGGGGCACTCGGGCGAGGGTCGTTTCGTTTGCAAATGGCGAGAGGGGGCGTCGCGATCCTCCGCATACATACCACTCGGTCGAGGGTTAGTTGGGGACCAGGGGCGCGCCGAAACGAAAGGCGGGAAACGCGTGCGAAAGTAGCCACGCGCGGCGTTCGGCGGAGCCACCTATGGGGCCACGGAGCGCGCGAGGAGCGCGTCGACGTGAAAGGCGCGGACGCATGCGAACGCACCCACTTGAGGCCTTCGGCGGCACCCCCAATGCGGCCACGAAGCGCGCGAGGGGCGCGCCGAACCGAGAGGCGCGGACGCATGCGAACGCCACCCCCTGGGGCGCGCAGCGAGGCCCCCACGAGGCGCGCGGGCGGCGCGCCGTAATGCGAGGCGCGGGCGCATGCAAACGCAGCCTCCTGGAGCCTTCGACAGACTCGCGATGGGGCTACGAAGTGTCTGACGCTGCGTGCCAAAACGAGGAGCTCCGGGGAAGCGCGCTCAACAATTTTCAACGCTTACAGCTCGGCGAGCGAGGCGCGCAAAAAGGCGCAACATGCACGCGCATCAACGCGCGACGCGCGCGAAACAAATCGCGCCGATGAAAATTTCGGCGCGCGAAGCGTGCTGAGCGGTTTGCAACTTGTACACGTCGGCGCGCGGAGCTCCATCAACGGCTGACAACACGGAGCGCGCGAAACGGTTTATCACATGCACGCCTCGACACGCCCGAGCATTCCCGACCGTTCCCCAGCGATCCCGCTGCCGAGCTCCCCCTGGCTCGGGAAAGCTCAGGGGAGGGGCGGGGGAGGGGGGGGGGCGAACAATGGCTTAGGAAGTCTGAAGGAGGCCAAGGGGGGGGCTTCGATTGGCTTCGGGTGGCCGAGGGGAGCCGGGCGCGTTGGCTTCGGGGCGCCGATTTGATTTGCAAGTGCAAAGTTGATTTCGCGAGTTCGATTGCCGATGCATTTGCGCAATTGATTTCGCGAGTTTGTTCGCCGAGTGGATTTGCAGAGTTGATTCGCGAGTTGACTTGCGGAGTTCATTTGCCGCGTTGTTTCGCAGACTTGATTTGCAGAGTTGGTTCGCAGAGTTGATTTCGCGAGTTGATTGGCAGCGTTGATTTGCCGAGTTGATTTGTCGAATTGGTTTGCAGAGCTGACTTCGCGAGTTCGCTGGCAGAGCTGATTTCGCAAGCTGGCTTCGCGAGTTGATTTGCAAAGTTGATTCGCGTAATTGATGTCGCTAGTTGATTCGCCGAGTTGATTTGCCGAGTTGATTTGCAGAGTTGATTTCGCGAGTCGATTTGCCGAGTAGGTCTGCCGAGTTGATTTGCAGAGTTGATTTCGCGAGTTGATTTGCCTAGTTGGTTCTCATAGTTGACTTCGCGAGTTGATTTGCCGAGTTGACTCGCAGAGTTAATTTCGCGAGTTGATTTGCCGAGTTGATTTGCCGAGTTGATTCGCAGAGTTGATTTGCCGAGTTGATTTGCCGAGTTGATTTGTAGATTTGAATCGCAGACTTGATTTGCAGAGTTGATTTGCCGGTTTGGTTCGCAGAGTTGAATTGCCGAGTTGATTTGCCGAGTTGATTCGCAGAGTTGCTTTGCAGAGTTGATTCGCAGAGTTGATTTGCCGAGTTGATTTGCCGATTTGATTCGCAGAGTTGATTTCGCGAGTTGGTTCGCCGAGTTGATGTACCGAGGTGGTTTGTCGAGTTGATTCGCAGAGCTGGTTGGTCGAATGGCTTCGCAGAGATGATTTCGCGAGTTGATTGGCAGTTTTGATTTCGCGGCTTGATATCGCGAGTCGATTCGCAAAGTTGCTTGGCAGCGCTGGTTTCGCAGAGTTGGTTTCGCGAGTTGATTTGCCGAATTGATTCGCAAAGTTGATTCCGCGAGTTGATTCGCAAAGTTGGTTCGCAGAGTTGATTTCGAGAGTTGATTTCGCGAGTTGATTTGCCGAGTTGATTCGCAGAGTTGGTTCGCAGAGTTGATTTCGAGAGTTGATTTCGCGAGTTGATTTGCCGAGTTGATTTGCAGAGTTGATTCCGCGAGTTGATTTGCCGAGTTGATTTGCAGAGTTGATTCCGCGAGTTGATTCGCAGAATTGATTCGCAGACTTGGTTTCGCCTGTTAGTCCACCGAGTTGATTTGCAGAGTTGATTTCGCGAGTTGGTTTGCCGAGTTGGTTCGTGGAGTTGATTTTGCGAGTTGGTTTGATGGGTTGATTTGTTGATTTGGTTTGCAGAGTTAATTTCGAAAGCTGATTTGCAGAGTTGGTGTCGCGAGTTGGTTTGCCAAGTTGGTTTCGCGAGTTGACTTGATCGGCGAATTGACTGAGCGAGTTGATTTGGGCCCCCCGAATTGGCGGGCCGAGTTGACCGGCGTCTCGCGCTCGTGTCGGGGTACCGTGTCTGCAAGCCACATCGCGTTGGGTCTCCGTGTCTAGGCGCCGTCGTCGCGTCGGCCCCCCGTGCCTCCGCGCGGCCACCGTGACGGGCATCCGCGCCTCCACGTCGCCATCATGAAGGGAAGTCGTGCATCGGCGCCGTCGTCGCAGTGCACGATGCACCTACCGACTGACACCCAGAGACCGCGCGTGGGGGTGGACACGATCGGTCAAAACACAGGGTTCACTTCTAGTCTGACGACCGACGAACCTCCGCGCGCGAGCGCTCGCACACATCCAGACACACACACACGCGCGTTGCGCGATGCACCAACAGACGCGGACATAGAGACCGCGCGTTTAGCAAGAGATCCAACTTGGCCCCCGCGAAGGGCTCACATTCCTTGCCTGGCCGTTATGGCCCCTCCCCTTTCTATGCTACTCCTAGCGCATTGTAGGCCGCGCAGATAGACTGGCACGGAAAGACCGCATGCGGGCAAAACAGAAATCCTCACGCAGGAGCGCGCGCGCGGGCGCGCGTAGGCGCATTGTATGGGGCGCCAACAGGCGGGCACGTCAAGGCCGCATGTTGGGTTGGAAATCAAATCTGCAGACGTTAACGGGCTACTTGAGTTTCCAGGCCAACATGGCGGCAGTCTTAGTGCGGGCAATACAGAAACCACCGCGCGCGTAGGCACATTGGATGGCGCATCAGTCCCACTGTAGGCAATACAAAAAACAACGCGCGATAGAGAGAGAGCGCGCGCGTGGGAGCATTGTATGTCG